TATATCATTTTCTTTTTTCCCATTTTTGTATACTAAAGTAACAAATGTGTTTTAAAAAATGGGATAACTGGAACCCAACTTCATCTCATACAATGCAAGTATTTGCAACTATGCATTTGTGGTGATATGGAATTGTACTCAAATGCCTATACAGAACACTGAGTGTTACTTTTATGAATTTTGCAGTAGCAGCACCTCCCAAGTAACATGACATCATTATATCATACATGTCCATTTTTACAACCGTAGTTGATGGGAAAAGGAAATAAACAACTGAATTTGGATGTCAGCATATGAAGTTGAGTTACTTACAGGTATTTCAGTTGCTCCCATTCTGGAGACACAGTAATATTCAGGTCCCATTCATGAGAAGAATTTTTAGAAACCCTTTTCAGAACTATATATCTAGATTCTCTGACCTGGCACCCTCCATGAGTTGGGACTGCATTTCCCAACTTTTATCATCCCTACACATTTGGAAGTACCACATTTGAGAGGGTTGTTCTGTACAGGTAGTCCTCATTTAGCCACCACAATTGGGATCGGCAACTTGGTAGTTAAGTGAAGTGGTCACTAAGTGAAACTGCAACTGTGCTTATGATCTTTCTTCAGCTTTCCTTTGCTCCACAGACCTGAGTAGGTCATAAATGCAAGGATTGCAAGCGGTCACTAAATGAGGCAATCGCTAAGTGAGGTCTACCTGTAGTATGATTGTTTGCACTCTTCAAATCAAAAGACACAAAACCATAAAAAGGCATACACAGAATGAGAAGTAAATAGAGGGAGGATAAATATGTGACCTGGTTCAGAACAGTAGAAGCACAGTACCTCAATGGAGTGTATGGGCCATATAGCTTTTGCTATTTTGATATATTGCTTGCAAGTAACCCTAGCTTAAATGGACCTTGATCTGATCCTGCAAGGCATAGGGTGTATTCAGATCACTTAATTATCAGGGCATGGCTAATTGGTATTAGCTGGTCTTGAATTTGTACTTTAAACAAGATTTCTAGTTTATCTAATTTTAAAATCTCACCACAAATAAAAAGAATGTGCTTAATATTTATGACTGAAATTATCCCTAATAAAGGAGCTAATGTGTGATGGATTGAGAAAACCTAGGTTAAAAACCCCACCAGGTATCCTTGTTTGGAAGGTTTGCAAAATCTTACTTAGGACAAACCCATATTATATTAGAAGAGAGTATCTGTAGCTCAGGGTTGAACTGTGTGGAGTTCTTGATGCTCTCTGAGCTTGGTTGTTTGCTCGCAGATGTTTCATTACCTGACTAGGTAACATCATCATTGATGTTGATGCGACGCCAGCACTGATGATGTTACCAAGATGGGGAATGAAACATCTGCAAGCAAACAACTAAGCTCAGAGAGCACCAAGGACTCCACAAATTATATTCTTGAACTGGGATGCCCCAAGAGTACCGCTATCTCATAATCTTCCATTTACATCTGACACCTGTCTGGAATACCCCAACCTGTGCCTTCATATCTCATCAACTAGGTTAAATGTTCACGATAATAATTACAACAACATAAGTAGCAACTTTAGCAGTCATATATTTTCTACAGATCTCACATCTTTCAGAAGGAAAGCTGAGAGCGGAATTAGATATTCAAAGAGACATGGGACCACTATCATTTCCAAGTCCACAATGTTTTCCATTGGGCAATATCATTACTTTCAACAGCTTTACCACGTAGAGATAAGCACAATGTAAATATATACTAAGGCTCACAAGTTTAAATCTCATTCCCCCAGGAGCCATCAGTTTTTATCCACTTGTAATAATTATCACTAGAGGGCAAACTGAATTTACTGAAATTGCAGATAAAAGCATCTCCCTTTCTCTAGGCAAATTCCAGGCTGATCTAGCTCTAAAGAGTAAAGCAGTTGACTCTGTGCTTGCAACTAGCCCTGGGCTCTTCATTTTAATAACCTTGTAAACAATTCAAATGGAAACAAAAGGCATAGTCAAATCTAAAGGAGAGGGCACACCCGTATCAAAATCCTTGTAAACTAATTCAAATACATGGTATGGCCAGGTATGCAACAGAGTCTACGTCTGTAGGAAAGTAATGATTTTATTGCCCCAAGTGTGGAGTTAACTGCATAACTCTTGGATTTGGCTTTGTATTAGGCAGCTAATCCCAAACTCACAACAATACAATTCACACAGCACACTATAGTGCTGTACTGTATATATTCAACACTGATTCAGGTTGCATACCTTTAGCAATGGTGAAGCGCATTCGTTCATCCTATAGATGGAGAAATACAATTTGGAATGAGGGTGTGAAGGTGCCAAATTAATAGTTGTCTAAAGTCTAGCATTTTGCAAATGCATTCTACTTTGTGTGTAGTAGACCAGTTTTAAAGAACTCAGGAATTCTATTATACAATGGCATCTGGACTCTAAATATGAAATTGCTTTGAAGTATAGCTGTGAAGAATAGCAGCCAAAAATAATGACCAGGAATAAGGTTAATTCAACTCAGTGGGATTTAATTTTGAAATAATATGAACAGGATTAGGCTGAAACACACAGACTCACAAATAATATATATGTCTTGGTACGTATGGTACAGAACTTCAGAAGAGATCATTAGCCTGTAAGCAAAGAGGACTTTCATCAATGGATTCATAGCCTTTAATACTGCAACTCATGAATCAGGTGACTGGGAATCTCCTTGCTAGCTCTTCCGTAATTTAGTAACTAAATTCAGGATCTGCCTCAGGCAGCCAGTAATCCTAAATGCACTGAAGTCAGGAATATAAGCTTTGTGTTTCCTATTAAGTAATGGATTCCTTATTCATCATTTAACTGATTATTAAGCCTAGACATTTTTACACCTGAGCAGAAATGCAAATTTAACTTGCAGTCAATTACAAAATGGGCCACTTCAAAATAATGGGAATTATTTCAAAAGCCAAATTGTACCAAAAAACATCAGACTGAATGGCCTAACTCTAATATTAGTTGTAAGCTTCCCTGGCTTTTCTGCCAGTTATTCCCTTGCCTGTATATTGTATTTATGGCAATTTTTCAACATAGAAATATTTAAAATCTGATCAACATTATTCTATCCCAGCTACTGGATGAGTGGAAGCTTTCAATGAAATAAATGCTTTGGATGCTTTCTGGAAAACACTAACCCTTCAATAATGCTCCAAGTCTGAAAGACCCCAGCAATTACTGCCTATGTCAGTGTTGTCCAAACTTGGCCACTTTAAGATGAGTGGACTTCAACTCCCAGAATTCCCCAGCCAGCCATTTT